ACTTCTCTGCCCACACCACACTCTGCCCTCAGAAGTTATGGGCACCAAAAAAGGGCAGCAGAGGAACAGCAAAGCCCAGCCAGGCTCCTCTGGAACTGCTGGAACAGCAGCAGGACAGCCAGCAAGGGGAACACACAACCACCACCCTCACTTGAGTCTGTTCATGGGAACATGACAGAGCATGAACCAAGCCCCATGAAATGCTGGGCCAACACCATGTGGGTCCTGGACAGCACAGGCTTCACTAAGACCTACAAAAACAGTGATTTAGCCCAGTATTTGCATGGGCTACTGAGCAGCAGATACCCTAAAACAGCTCTTGATGGGTGGTAAGGCCCCTCTTCTGCCCACCCCTCCCTTCAGGGCCTCTCCTGAGTCTGTACCACTGGTTAAACCAGTATTTGTGCACTAGTCCCTCCACAAATCTGGACAGGACTGCAGCAAAGAAGATTTTAGACTCATCCTTCCACCTGGAGGGAAATGAGGAAAAGCACCTTGAGCCCTCTGAAAGAGCTCTGAGCTGTTTCTGCCCTGAGCTGGAGGGCAGAACTAGAACTGGAAGAGGAAGATCTCTGCTCTCAGATAGGACAAGGGATCCAAAGCCCACCTGCCACGTGGAAAGGTGTGTCTGTGCAGGGAGGTCAGCTCTGGTTTCAGCCACAGGACCTGCACGTTCCCTCTGCAGATGCCCAGGCAAAACTCAGTGGGAACTGGTAAAAAGTTTAATAAAACCTCTTATTTCTGACAAAACCCAGCACCCTGAAGTGGTCTCCAAACTCCCTGCAATGCAGGGAGTGGCCAAGCAGCTGGGGATGTGCTCAGACCCACACAGCTCAACTCCCTTGGGCTATCAGGAGCTGTCCAAGCACAAAAAGGAAGGTTTGTAGGAATTCAACATCTTCCCACCTCCCTGTGACCTTTCAAAAGCTCCAAACAGAACAGAAGTCACCCAACACCTCTGAAAGGTTGATCCTCAGCCTTTGTTTAGGTGCTTGGGTGCTTCAGAGGATCTCTGGGCAGGCAGAGCAGGATCGACCAACCGAAACCACCTCCTGGTTAAGTGGGAAAGTTCCACCTCTTATTTTTTGGTGATGCTTTAGAACAGAGCCTGTGCTGGACTGAAAGCAGCAGCTGAGCTGAAAACAACTCTCACTGTCACCACCACCATCCAAATGGCGGGCAGGGAGTTTAAGGAGCTGGATTTCCTTCAGTTCCACCTCCCTTCTGGAGCCAAGGTGTGCTGGAAGCTCTGGAACCAGCACTATAAAGGGAAAGGCTTTGAGTGGTTGTCACTAAAAATCACCGCTTCTGTTCTCCAGGACATTACAAGATGACACACTTCAAAAAAGGCAGAGAAAGCTTAGAGGGCTCTGCCAAGCCTGAACATCTGAGAAACCCTTCGAGGAACAGCCCTGGCAGGGCTGTGTTTGATGTGTGACACCGCCCTGCACCCGCACAGGCAGGAGATGCTCCGTGGGGAAGCATTTCCATGGCAACTCCCGGCTTCTCACCAAATCCCGCTGGTCCTCCTGCACCAAGTCCATCTTGTGCACCAGGCAGAAGATCTTGGCATCAGGGGAGTTCTGCAGAATGGCCTCCAGGCAGGACTGGTAGTAGTGCATGTCCTTCTCCAGCTCCCGGCTCTCCACGTCGAACACGTAGATGAGAACCTCCACGTTGCGGAAGATGTTGTCCCTCTGGCTGGTGAAGTAGTTCTCCATGAAGGTGTCCTGCCTGAGGAGCAGAGCAGGAAAGCAAGGAGACTCCTGTTAGAGCAACCAGGACTTGCTTGGAAAGGTGAAGAAGGCGCTAAGTGTAAAATATCAGGGCTTTAATTTGGAGCTGCAGATCCCACCGCAGGAGGGACAGAGCTCTATTCCCCACAACAAGGCTCCCTGAGCATTCCCAAGCAAGGCTGGAAGCTCCTGAAGAGCATCAGCCCACCAGTTCCACCTTAAGCTGAAGCTTCCCTTGTGCTCTGTGTCCTGCTTCTGGATCCACATTGGCTTCTAAAGAGCTGCTTATAAAACACCCACAGCAGCAGAAGCAGCTGAAATATGACCAAAGTATCAGTTTAGCCTGTTATCCCAGGATTTCAGTCTCCCCTGGCTTTGGCTGAATGTGGTTTAGCTGATGCATGAGGCCATGGAGCTGAGGAAGCTGAGCAAAGCTCAGCTGAGGCTCTATCAGAGGGACAGCATTCCTCAAAAAGCTGCTTCCAGGAGCCACAGGATCACTGGTGACCTTCAGCATCACCTCTCTGCACACATCCCACTTGGAACAAGCTGGTGGTGGGCAATTCCAAGAGCAGCAGCACCTCCCAGCACCTCAGGAGAAAGCCCAGATGGAGGATTCTCTTGGCACACAAGCACCACACTCCCCCCTTGGAGCAGAATCTGCTCTGTTCCATCCTCACCTGATTCCCCACATCCACCCCCAAAGGACTCAAAAGGAAAGGAATAAACAGTACCTACCCTCCACAGTCCCACAGGTTTAACACCAGGTTTCCCAGGAATCTGACATGGGAATGCTCCACATCAACTGCAGAGAGACAACAGGAGTTTACTGACTGTACCACACACCTGGATCAGAGCTGCCTCCCCCAAAAATGAGCAGAGAATCATGGAATGGTTTGGGTTGGAAGGGACATTAAAGCCCATCTCATCCCACCCCCTGCCATGGGCAGGGACACCAGGTTGCTCCAAGCTCTGTCCAGCCTGGCCTTGGACATTTCTGAGGATGGGCCATTTCTCCCAACACAGCCCCCAGTTGGTAAAATCCCACCTAAACACCACTGCTGGACATTTCCCACAGGAATTCCAGCCTCCCTGCCCAGGACACTGCTCTCCTGAGAAGTGCAGCTGGTGCCCCCCCTTCAACCACACGCTCCCTGATCTCTGGGATATTTTAGGAATTATTTTAGTTGCATCAAACCCTGCAAGGCCTGAATGCAGCCTTGACAAAATAAACCAATAACACAGAGAATGGAAACTTCAGGAACAGGCCAAATTTACACCAATCCCTGACATTAAGCCCTCACATTAAATCCTTCCCCATGAGGAGTGTTAGATACAGACAATTCACCCTCCTCTTTCAGAGGAATCACTTCTTGTTTTTTCCCATCAGTGGCTGCTTTGGAAGGGGAAAAAGAAAAGGCACAAGGCACTAATTAAGCTCAGTGTTTAATCCTGCCAAAACCACGGGCAGACTGCAGGATCCCTGTGCTGGAGATCAGCTGCATACAACAGGAATGCTCCACCAACACAGAGCACGAGGAGGCTCTGACACTCCTCCACTAACAGGTGTAGCTGCAGCACAAGCTGCTTCCTTATCCCAAAATAAAAAAAAGTTCAGGATGAAGGTCAAACAATAAAGCAGCAAAACAGGACCCAGTCAATAAAGCAGCAAAACTGAAGCCAGTGCTGCCTCCCCCTTCCCTCTCCAGCTTCCTGCCTGTCCCCAGCTGGCCTCCAAGGGAGCTCCCTGTGAGGTGTGGCAGCTGGGAGGACCAGCAGGGACACACCTAATCCAGAGGAGAGGCAGGAATTGCTGCAGGGAATGGTCCCACCCCATTAATGAGGGGAGTTTGAGCCCTGAGAGCTAGGAGTGCAGACAAGAGCAGCCTTACTGGTGGCCCCCAGGCGCCGCGTGTCCCGGGCGATGTAGTTGGCAAAGATGATAGATCTCATGCTGGTCTTCCCAGACCCACTTTTACCCATCAGCAGCACCTGGGAAGGAAAAACAAACCGGGAAGAATTAGGTATGAAACAGCACTAAGGCCTTCACAGCCCCCTCTAGTTGCCATCTCACTGACATGTTTCAGCTGGGACTGCACAGGAGAGAGAGGCAAAGAGGAGCACCAGGCCTGGGAAGCAGGACATGGACATCCTTAACTCCTTGCTATCCATGGGCACTGGACTGTGGTCAGGCTGAACACCTTCTCCCAACACAGCACTTGGGAAGAGCAGGAGCTGCCTCCCCCTTTCCCGGCCCCTCACCACAGGAAGAGCCCTGATGGCTTTCATGGCAGCAAAGGACTTTGCCAGGACAGAGGAACAGCTTTGTCTCAAGCTGTTAAGACCAGACTGGAAACAATCCCTCCCCCCCTTTCCTAATCACAGGATGGTTTGGGTTGGAAGAGACATTAAAGATCATCTGATCCTGTTGTTCTCCTTCTCGTAATGTGACTTGTTTTCTCTTCCCCAACAGAAGTGACAATTCAAGTTTCAGGGGTTAGAAGACCAGAAAAAAGAAGTTAAAAGCAGGTGGGACAGCCCAGGTCAAGTGCACCAGTGTATGGGGGACACTTGACTCCAGAGTCTTGTCTGCAGGACATCAGGCCAAAGGAGAGGTACCAATAAGTAGGGGATGCTGGTGCTTGGGGAGTGGGGATGAGGGGAGACAGTCCCACAAGGCAAGACTTGATATTGTGATCTAAAAATAAAAATAAAAAAGAAACCCAAGCCAACCGTGGCAGCCAACACAAAACCCAGCTGTTAAACAAGTTCCAGTCACAGAACCCAGTCCAGCCTTTGGCAACAGCTGTGGAAGTCTCCTGTCAAGGAGAGGTTTAAGGAGAGCAGAGGCAATTTAAGGAGTGCAGGACACTGGCCAGGAGGGCACTTGCTCCACTCCCACTCTCTCTCTGTGACAGTACAGCAGGAGCTGCCACAATTTCATGGGAAAACCTCAGCAGAATCCCAGCTCTCTGCTCACTCCAGTCATTCCTGCAGCTCCTCAGAGGCTGAGAGAGCCCTGGCCAGAGGAACCTGAGCACAGGCCTCCAGGATTTGGGAACGAGGCCTGTCCCTGAGTGAGGGAGGCTGGTCAGGCCAGCCCAGAAGGCTGTGCTGTCCCCTGAGCTCATCCCAGGGAACACAGCACAGCACAGCTCTTATTTCACAGCACCAGCACAAACGCCACAGCCAGATCACAAACTCCATCCAGATCACAGGGAAACCCAAATCCCAAGTTTTGGGCTGCAGAGGCCTTGCAAAGGGATCAACCAGCAGGCAGGAAACCCAATCCTAGCACACCATGGAAAACCAGCCACATATTCCCTACACAGCCCCTTTAACAGCTTTGGATGTGCTTCTGCTGGAATACACCCACCCCTTCAAATCCCACAGGAGCTCCTCCTTCCCCAAGGGTTAAATTCCATCCTCCCAGGAGCCCTGAGTGAGTTATGGGCTCCCCACTGAGCTCCTGGACACCTTGGAAGGCTCTCCCCTTGGAAGGGCCAAGGAAGTGGTTTGGAGCAGATCCTCTTCCCCCACGCTGAGCACGGGGGTTTGCAGAGGGTTTTGCAACACATCCCAGAAACAGTTGCCCACGGTTCTGGTGGATGGCCCTGCAATCAGCCAGGAATAAACCCAATTTTAATGTCTGGCTCTTGATGCAGCCGCTGATTCCAAGAGCCTTCCAAGGCACCTGAGCCCCAGAGAGACCGACACAACAAACAACGACATTCCCAAATGGGGACGGGGAAGGAAAACCCAACAGCACAGGATCCCCCTCCCAGTCCTTACCTTCTTCTTCATGGCTGTGCTGGGCATCACACCCCTGCCGAGAGAAGCCCACCTTGGATCGCTGCTTTCCTTGGATCACCGCTCGCCCATCCCGATCCCACGGCCCGCAGCGCGGGGGAAGCGCTGGCACAGCCCCCCCTCCCCTGCCATGGGGAACTCCCATGCTGGGAAACCTCCGGCACTCCCGGGATCCCACGGCCCGGGCCCCCCCGCAGCCTCTTCCCCGGGATGAGCCGGGATGTCCCTGCCCTAGGGATGTTCCGCAGCCCCTTCCCCGGGGATGCCCCTTCCCTCGGGACATTCCAAAGCCCCTTCCCCCGGGATGGCCCCAGAGCCCTTTCCCAGGATGTTCCACAGCCCATTCCCCTGGGATGGCCCCAGAGCCCTTTCCCAGGATGTTCCACAGCCCCTTCCCCTGGG